ATTTTGGAGGAACAAAGCACCAAATGATAGCACTTAAAACTGTCTTCTAGAGGCCTTTTGTGTAAATTCAGTTCATTTCCATTGTAGCAGGACACTTCGGTTTTAATGTGGTACCACATGCTTGCTCATGTGTGTAGCTGGAAGGACAAGACATTCGGGTTGCTTCTTCAGAGCTGTTAACACTGTTTAATGCTTGTTTCATTTATTAAATTTGTTTGTTACAGGTTTTTCCAGGTATCTGTGAATCAACATGTATCTTAACAATGAATTCTCTATTAACACTAGTTTTGTTCTGCTTACAGATGATAAAGCAGCTACAACAGAGAATGACTGAACTCAAAAAAACGCTCCAGAAAGAGTTGGTAAGGGTTATGCTTTTTTAGTCTCTCCAGATGGCAGTTACTGACACAGCACTACTAATTCTGAAAGCTTGACTGTTAGCTAGAGTGTAAATTTTTTAGCTGGCATGTTTGTGGTTTCCTTGTGTTTGCAGGCAGATCTGAGGATCCTTAATTTAGGGAAATAAATAACAAATGATCTAGAATGATTCATCGAATGGATGGAACCTATCATCACTCAAGTCATGCAACACAGAATAAAATAGTTGCAAAACTGTTACTCTGATTACCAATTTTGTAGGGGAGGAATCAACGTAGGTATAAAAGACCTCTGTTTGGTAATTTTGAGCATTTAATACATCTTTTTGGAGAGAAGAACTGAGGTTTGATTGATACTTAGCTGCCACTCAGTTGAGTTTTACCATGGGACTGATGTCTGCCCTGAGGAAAGTTCTTCTTTAATCTCTCTTACAACAGTTTTCCTTGCCAAGAAAAAATTTTACTATCTTAAAAAAAAGTCTTTAAAATATTCTGATATTGTGATTTTTGTTTTTGTCGAAGCTTGAGAATTGTTTTGCAGAAAGCCCCAATTTAAAAAGCACAAACGAGGTCAGTGGTGAAAGAAAATGATCCCATAACAGTTTCTAGCCTAGACCCAGTTCCATGCCGGTTTAGGTCATGTACGTGTAACACTAACAGCAACTAGCTTCTGTTTTGGAGTCTAGGGAGAGGAGAAGAAACTTCTCTGTTGATCCGATGAAGGATGAGAAGCTTGTCCTCCTGATACCCAGGTTGTACGCACTGTGTGGATACAGGCCCTCTGTATTAGCTATCTTAAAATGACACAGTCTACAATGCATTTCTTTTTCTTTCTTTTTTTTTTTCTTTCTTTCTTAGAAAATAAGGCCTGACAGTGAGGTACCCGAAGTACGTGAAAAAACAAATTCTGAAGTGCCTAATGCTTCTGTGACTGTCACAAACAACTCTGATTTAAACGACTCAAGGGAGATAAACTTTGAATACCTTAAACATGTTGTACTGAAATTCATGTCCTGCCGGGAATCTGAGGTAAAGATGTATGCTTAGCTTCTCTTTCTAGTCTGCCTTCCTCTAGAAACTGCCACCTGCTACCCAACAGATACATGTCATTAAATGCAGATATAAGAAGTTCTAAGTAGGATGCTTTTATTTGATGTCTACACTTCTGCACTTAAAAGAAGTTGATTTCAGCCAAATGAAACAAAACAGCTGACAGTAATGCGTTTAGAAGTACAGATTATTATGAACTAAATGAAAGGGAAATAAAAATTTTTAAGATGTAGTTATATCTGTAAGTTTAAAAACCCAAAACTGCAAGGCATTCCCCTCTGTACTACCCCAAAAAGCATATACAGCATTTGATTAGAATAAATATAAAAATAAATAGAAGAAAATAAATTAGAATAAATACAGGAATAACAAAAAGGTACAAACTACTTGCTGTTGATATCTAAGAACTAATTCCTTGTGCATTTAGACCTCCTTTGCGTTCTCCACATTCAGTGTCAAGGAAGTTACAGGTAAAAAAGTCATGCCAGCAGTATACTTTGCTTAATTGCAAATCAGACAGTAGGTAAGATCAAGAAATAGATGTGCAGTTCCACAGTATCCTGAGTGCTTGACTGCTCTAGTGTCTCTGCATGATATGTCCTATTTAAAATGCTAGTACTAAAGAGTTAATACACTTGAGTGTATATTTAAAATGGCTGCATGCTGGCTTGATCAAATCTTCAGACCCTTTTAAAAAAAGGGGGCCGGGGGTGCCGTAGAAGCAAGGCTTCTTCTCTGTTCTAATACACTGGGCTGCCCAATTTATCGTCCCTATGCAAACCACTGTTAAAGAACAGAAAGCCAGTAAACACAAACAGAAGACACAGCATGCACAGCATCCCTTTCTATTGGAATTGGAGATTTATGGAAGACTCCTGCTCTGCTCCTCACAGTTGTAACTAAAAAGCCTATGACCAAACCTACAGAAAATCTGTGCTGCACCATAATCCAGAATTTAGAGACTGAGGGCATCATAACTAACCAACTGCTGGGGTTTCTTTCAGGCATTCCATCTAATTAAAGCTGTGTCTGTGTTACTGAATTTTTCACAAGAGGAAGAAAATATGCTTAAAGAAACCTTGGAATACAAGGTAAGGGTTCTGTTCTACTTGTAGATTCCCAGTAAGAGGAATGAAAACTATTAAATGCTGGGAGACCATGTAAAGTATCTTTTCCAAACTTTAGCAACAATAATAAAGATCATCTCATGTTCAAGCGTGCACTAATCACATGTATGCATGATGGAAATCGCCTATTTCAGTAAGGTAAATGTAGTGTGACTTTTCAGTGCAGTAAGGTAAATGTAGTGTAACTTTTCAGTGCTTCAGAAAAGCAGCACAGTATTGCCCAGTGGACTCAGGTGTGAAGCCAGAAGCTCTTTGCTATGACAGTCTAAGGTTGAAGAGTAGGATACTGGATTCATGGCTTTGTCATTTCACATTGGGCTTGGGCACTTGATCTGTTTCTACTTTCCACTGTATAAAATAAGATCATCTTCTGCACGCCGCTGGGTTGGTGGTTATTAGTGAACGTTCATCAATGAGTGCTGCTTCAGTTCCTTAGACGCTCTGCGTTTCTCTCTGCCCGCTCAGTAAGTTAAACGTGTTCGGTATACACAAGTGAAAGAGAGGAAGAATTCCTTGCCATCTCGCTCAGGGAACTTGTCATGCTAGACTGGCAAAAGGTACTGTCATTAAATGACTGTAACTTATAATTATTTTGAAGGAATATTCCTAAATGTTATCTTCAGTGTTCTTGACTTACAGAAACAGGATGCTGTTTCTTCCAGATTTGACTGTGTGAAACCTTCTTAGTCTGAATTTTGCAGTGTTGTATGTTTTATAAAAATTTGTCCCCATCCAATGATGGGGAGATGTATGTGTACTACATTATTTTTCAAATTTTCACTTTTTCCTAAAAGTGGGAACCTAGCCTAATGTGTATTGTGCTTTCCCGTCCCAGATGTCGTGGTTTGGGTCAAAGCCATCTCCTAAAGGCAGTATCCGGCCATCTATCTCAAGCCCAAGGACACCATGGTCTTAAGGGAACCTGAAAACAGGCAGTCAGCATCTAGCCACTTATTTTCTGTGAAAAGAACACTCAACACACTAATTCAGGTGTGTCTTAATCACTGTCATTGCAGTATTTTGTACAAGAACTTTGATACTGTTTACAAAAGTAATACTGTGCAAGGAGAAATTTTCACCACAAACTGAAACATCTTTCTTGGGTTGGATCCAGGGACTGTCGTCTCGATGGTCTCTTAATGGAAGTCAGCTCCTTGTGCTCATCGGTCTTGTTTCTTGGCACCAAAGGGTAACGTTAACCTCACTAACATTGGTGCTGGCAGTTCAAGCTTCTAACATTTGCATCTGTTATGATGGTGATTCCAACTTCTGTTATGAAATGCCAGAGTTGAATAACTCTAGCTACAGTAAAGCTTCCTTGTCTCACTGTGGAAAGCAAGCAATGGAAAGAATATTGGCAGTACTGTTGGATTCCTGGCAGTTTGAAAAGCCTTTCGAAGAACAGGAGCAGGAGCTTTAACCAAAAAAGAAAAAAAAAAACTGCCTTGCCTTGTTATACTGACATAACTAATAGTTTGCATTTTTTCATATCACTGTGTAATTTAAGGTGCATATATCCTGGCCTGCAGTCCTGAAGGCTGCATGTTGATGATGTTTATTTAATTTGAGAGCACAACTTTAGAGTTGTCTGATTTTACTTTTCTTAAAGAAAAATAATATTTAAAATGGTCTTAATTATAGTACCTAATACTCAGTCGCCTTTAAAACTAATCTGCTAGTCTGTACCATAGGTTGTTAATGTGGGGAAGAGGGGATAGTAAACCATTTTAAATTTTTAAAGCTGAATTCCAGGTATTGTAAATGCACACTGAAAATACCTTTTATTTTAAAAAAACAAAAACCAAAACCAAACAAAAAACCCTCTAGTGACAAAGGGTGAAGAATATTGGTACTGAACACTTTGTTTTGGGTTTTTTTTTTTTTCCCTGTGCAAGTTTGCTAGCAGCAGATGTTCAACCAGATCTTCATAACCAGTATCTGCCTCTTTGGTTGTGATTTTATGTACTTCAGATACTGACGCTTAAAAGAGCTGTTACGGGCATGTAGTGGGCTGTTAACTGTGTCCTAACTACATGGTAAAAGGAATGCTGCTTATGAGGGTTTTTTGTTTGTTTGTTTGTTTTTTGAGAGCAAAATTGAAATAGTCAATGAATCTTACTTATGAATCCAAGTAGCCTGCCTACTTCTACCTTAGGAAAAGGGGACCAAGCTGGGACTTGCCTCAAGGATTGAGAGCAGAATTTTGCCCTTAATGACTAACCAGAAAATAGACTGATTGTTGCTTCCCATTTTCATCTGACTTCTTAAAAAATTGGATGTATTTTTAAAAAATTACATAGGTATGGCATTCAGTGAACAGGCTCCAATTCTGGCAATTCTCTTACAATGCGGTTTGTGTTACTAACACTATTTTTATTAAATATCTTCAAGAAAATTCAACCTGTACTCTGGTGGAGATACGGTCACTGTTCAGGGTTTTAGCTTAGCTTTGCTATAAATGACGGTGGTGGTGGTGGCAGTAAGCTACAGCGTGAGAGTCACAGCACGTGAGCTGCTTCCTGCCCCTGCGCACACTTGTGCTGTTGTAAAGATGAAAGTAGCCTTCTGCATGAGGTCAGTTACCAGAGTAGTAAATGTGCTGCAAATCTATATCCTAGCTGACCTCACCAAATTAAGTAGCCTAGATACTCACGGTAGCGATTACTGTGACAAAAGTGACACTCCTTAGTTTGTAGCTAGGCTACATTTATTTAAATTGAAGCGAGACAACACGATTTTTCAGTATACTAAAGCTTGTCAAACACAGTCTTTAGTAAACTGAGTCATAGCACTTAATTGCATAGAATAGGGAAGTTTATGGGAAGAGTACAGCTCGGCTTTAACATGAAAACAGACAATCAAAAAGTAGATTTGTTTGAAGTGCTCCTATACTGAAACCAAGTGGGGGCAGGGGAACCCTGTGGGTTCTGGGAAGGGCCCAGATTTTGTTCCCTAAGGTCTGTCTTTGTAACATCCCCTTGGCCCTGCCCTACATCTGAGGGGACCCGGGAACAAGGGACAGAATTTCATCTACTCTTGCTGATGCCTGCTGAATGACTAATCGGTTTAAGTTGATCCTGGCTTGAAAGGTTACTGCTGAACAGTAAGGAAAGCAGTGCAGGGGACTTGGAAGAAATACATAAATCTCAGAATATTTGTTTACTAACACAATTTCAATTTAAGATCCCCAAGCTCTTACAGGATCAACTTCCCATAAATTAGTTAAGTGTTGATTTTTCTTTATATATCAGAGCAAGAATGGTGTGTATACGTATATTAAAAAGCTAATGCACTTTTACCTTGTATAAAAACAATGGTATACATAATCGTTTCTATGGCCATTGGATTTCTTTCCTTCTATGCTGTAAATATGGATTCTATTATGAAACACTATGAAATTTGTGGTGCAATACATTTTTGATTAAAACTCTAATCTTGATTTCTTTCTCTTTATAGTTCTGCTTATCTCCATGGGGATGCTATAGCTATTTAAAATGCAGAGAAATGTTAAAGAATGAAACAAAACCCATCTCCCTGTCTATGGTAAGAATGGGTGTGTCAACCATATAATTAAGGCCCCTATTTCTCATAGGGGATTAGGCCAGGAATGAGGCAGAGTGCTTCTGCCTCCTGAAGCTGTCTCCCACCAGGGACAGCTGTTGCTGCACTTTTAGCAGCTGATAAAAACAAAGACCAAGTGGAATACAGCCTCCCTTAACAGCTGCTTCACTTGGAGCACACTTGTTTGTGACAAAAGGAAGCGAGGCTCAGTCTCTTTCCCAACAGATACCCTGTCAGACTCCATATGCACAGTGTAAAATGAGCCCCTAGAGAGACGCTGTAGAAACTGAAGACTCTTACCTAGGTGCTGTAACTTGAGTTGGAAACAATGACGATGTGAGTAGTTGTGCTGTTCTGTCTGGGCAAATCAAGGATAAAACACCTGCACGTACTCATTCAAAGGAAGCTTCTTACTATGCTGTCAAATAGTCCTTTAGAGATGAGGATAAACTAACATATAAATAGGTTAACAAGTTTTGAAGTATTTTCTTGACTTCCTAGCATGAGCAAGAGTATAAAATCAAATCATTAGTAATTATGTACTATATTCCAAGGCTTCTAAAGTGCAGTGAACAATTGGGCTTGATCTCGCTTCCTAGAGCAAGCATATCGAAGATCACTTCTGCAGAGGCGGGCACTTGGCTTAGAACTGGTATATTGCTGGTCTGCTTTTGAATCAATTGCAGGCGTACAGGTTCGCTAAAAATAAATTACTTAACTCGTGTGATCCAAGAACTTTATTAATGCAGCAGGCACTTTACAATGAAACCAGCCCCACAGTCCAGCTAGTCCTTTGACCATCCCCTCTTTCTAACAAACACTTCTCCTACCTTTAAGCGGTCAGAATCTTGCATCTGCAAACGACATAGCTACCTCTTAAATAAGCAGTACACACAGGATCTTGTATCACCACGCTCTGATAAAGCAGCATCTGAAAATACCTGTTCACTTACAGTAATGGGGGGGCAGGAGTTCACCTTTTCTCTGCCTTTTAAAGAAGAAGGGATCAGGATAATATCTTGGCTCCTGTATTTGATAGAGCATACAGGAATAATGTTTACTCTTCCCCCACCTTTGAAGTTAAAAGCATTCCAAGAAGAGGTTTCCATAGTATTTCAGCAGACTGCAATCTCTGTAAAGATGGACCAGTGTCATTTCAGCTAGTTCCTTCTTCTGGGTCCAGAACTGATCGTCGTCTTGGTGCAAGTTAATAGTCTTTTAAACAGTCTTTCTTGCTGTAAGAACTCTTACTATGGAACCTAGTCCACCTACTGCTAATGCCTGTGGGGAGGGGAAAAGGAGATAGGTGTTACACACAGTTGCTGCAGTGCACACAAAAGGCATCTTAGAAGAACAAACAGTTTTGTGCTTAGTAACAGAGAAGTAAGTGTCTCTTCTCCAAAAACTTGTTTTTCACACATAGCCATCTTGGGCTTTTCTTCTTGTTCTACCCTTTTTTGCTGTCAAATTCAAGATTTGACAACGGTTCCTTAGGAAAAATCTATTCATTTTCTCTAGCACATGCTGAGGTTAAAGACATTTTAAACAGTATCATTTAGGCACTAAACCCTATCTTGCAGTGTCAGGTTTCCATGATAAAACTCATAGTAGCCTGCAAGGCCAGACATCAGTTGTTCTCATGGTACGATTGCTCCATCACGCAAAGCATTAGTATGTATCAGTTAACTTATGCTAGCCAAGACCACAAAGCAATTCTTTGTGCTAATTGCTGCCAGCAGAACAGGAAACGTGGTTTACAAGCTGTTCCGCCTCTTCAGGTCTGTGCAGGTGCCTTTTACATTGCTGCCACCTTTAACTTCCTGTGGTAGCGGTCACACAGTTATTCCTCTTCGTTGTGTGTTCTCTAAACGATTTAGCGTGACAGTTAAAAAGGCTGATTGGGGAGATCAGGGCTGAATTCAGATCCTGCTTGTTCCTATCTCCTCCCACGATCTTGGAAAGCATGTGCCTTGCTCCCTCTCTGTAAATACAGATGAAAGTGATCTTTGACTCGCGTTACTGCGCTGCATATATCGTGACAGTCTGTAAATGTACTCAGTGACACAAGAACCAAGGGTCTGAAGGGTAGACACAACCAATTGCAGAAATAAAAATAACAACCCATATACCACTAAAACCACAAGGAAACGTACACTGCCCAAAATCTAACAAACCATCTTTTGGTTCTTGTGGAAGATACTCATGTCACATGCATTACTGAAAATACAGAATCTGTCTCCCTTCCCATATCCCCGAATGGGGAAAGGCTCATTTCGGTTTGGTTTGCATCCCTCAACGTAAATAATGTGTATCCTTCTAAAGTCTAGAAGATTGACTTAATTATGACAAAATGAGTAATACTGAAGCTGCTTAAAACAGCACGTTTACTTTGCAGGCACAATTCAAACGCAGCCAAGTGGCTATTGCAACTTATGAAAGGAGAAAAACAATCAACAGTATCAGACACCTTGCTGTCATTAGAACATAGATGGATGTAAAGCATCCACTCAGAATCAGAGCTTGCACATGATGTGCCTGAGTTATGAGACCTGCTTTACATAGGGATGACAAACGGGCCTTTTCCACAGGCAGAACTCCGTCTCCAGGATGGACAGAGGCTACTGCCGAACCGCAGACGCCTCCCTGAGCAAGTCACATTTCTTAGCAGTAACGCCAGAAAGGAGAACACGAGGAAAGCTTTCATTTAAGAACACGGCCCAGCCTACTTCAGACCTGCCTTGTTCCTTTCAAAATGAGGAAGAGATATTCTGCATGTGCCTACACGCTCTAAACACTAACTTTTTCCTAGTCAAGGCAGAATATTGAGTAATTTTATATACTGTGGAGCACCAGCCCACAGTTACCAGAAAACAGTCTCCATTGAGGGGGTGGGGAAGAGTCAAGCAGAAACATGTTCCTTGCTGTCCTGATAATGTATTTTCTCCTCCTCCCCTGCTAAACAATCTGCAAAGCAAGTGACAGTTGCTAATAGCTGGAGCCACTGTTGCAAACACAATTTCGGTTTTTACATATCTCAGAAAAAGCAATTTTTGCAAATGACATAGCCATTAATAGCTGGCCGTACTGCTACAATGCAGAGGGTACACTGAACTGCAGAGTTCTTAAGGATTGTTTCTTCTAAGAGGACCACTGAAAGCCTGTGCAGCACTTAAAACCTAGGCAGCTGGGGAAGATGTCAGTCATTTCGCACGGGTTTCTACCTGGGGAGAGCAGCACAGAAGAGTTGTTTCATGCGCCTCATCCCATGACACAGAGTGAGAACGTTCAAGAGCTGCTAAACACATCTCACCCCCTCATATCTCAAAACGGTCATTCAACAGAAACTAGAGGGGACTGCCCTGGATCCAAGTGGAATCTCTTCAGAGATCTCAAAAGCCTTTATTGTGCAAACTAAACAGGTTTGCTCAGTCCTCTTACTAAATTGGGACATGTATGCTGCTATAGGCACTTAACTGTGGAAAACTCTTGCCAGACCTACGCTTCCCGAGCATGCCATTAACCAAATACTCAACTACAAAGAAACACTGCCAGCTCCAGGGTTCACACAATCACATCTCCACTCCCAGTTCTTTTTCCTTGGTGGGAAACCGTTGCCCTCATTACACTCAGAACAAGGTGGCAGAGCTTCCTCCAGCGGTCACCGGACCCTCCCACAAGTCTCACCTCTCCTCCTGGCTGAGGGCGAGCTTTGAAATTCAGGCAAAGGCTTAATGAATTCAAGTGCAAAGAGACCAAAAATGAAAGGAATTACCAAGCACTGTGCTTCTCTGGGATGAATCCCCTGCCATCATACACAAGAGGGGCTCCAGTGAAAGCACTAACACCGACCCTTTTGAAAGGTGCCTGAGCCCGGACAGCACCAGAAGAAACTTACCTTTTCATGCCATTGAAGTAATATTGCACTGCTATTTTCTGTTGGCTTTTCAAATCCTTTATAAATGTACTTCATTAACAAGTCAATGCCATTTCTGTCTAAGGAGTTCACTGCTTGTTCTATTTCACTGCTTTTAAAAGATGTGAGGACTTTAAGCATGGTTCCCTGGGCCTGTTCCTGCAAAGACCACAAAAACAAAAAAACAAAAAAACAAAAAACCGGTCGAGCCAGCAAAGCTGGAACTGTATCAAAGACCTGTGTTTGACAAAAGTATGCTCAGAAGACCACTACATTAAAAAGTTGGTCTATTTATTTGTTGTAACCAAGCAGGTTAACATTTTGCACTTTAAGTTTTAGTAGCGAGAAGGGTGGGTACATCTTTTTAAAAGTGGATTTTTTTCATGCTTCTTTCTCGGAAGGGCTAACTGAAAGGGATTGCAGAATCATCTGCTGAGCTGTAACAAATTCAACAGTGCAAGGCCAAATTCCTTGTTTTAAAAGCATATTGCAAAATCCACATGCAAACACTGCTTCAGGTATGTGCTCACTAACTCCATCAATTGCTTTTCTGAGTAAGGAAACTTTGGTTTATCCCAAGAACATCATCCTCTTCTTTACAAGCATCAGCTGCTCCAGTGTCCCTCCTGTGGCAGTTAGAGCTGGGCAGAAGAGCAGCACAGACCTGCGTTCATTTACGAGTCTGCTGTCGCAGGCTAGCTAACAGGCCATTTGCATCGAAAAGCAGCAGCATTATTGCTCAAGAGCCTGCCTATGGATGGTGCAGCTGAACACAAAGCGATTGCCTGTGTAGAAAATACAGCGTATTGCTGTAGTCTATCACTAATTAACAGCACTAAGGTATTAATCAGATTTCTGGAGAAATGCTGAACCATTTGGAAGTGCCCCCACGATCCGCTGCTGAAATCTAGGGGTGGGTGCGTGCCTGCTGCGAGGCAGTGACAGAGCCGCTTCAGGAAGCGCAGAGGTGCCGCTTACCTTCATCGCCTGGTTCTTGGTGTTAACAGGAGAATTCCTTATGGCTGTGTGGAAAGCTCGGAGCGTATCGCCTGTGCAGCACAGCAAGTCAAGGACTCGAGCCGGTCGGTTATTGGCACCATCATAACTCACTCCAACCCAACCGACAATCTTGTATACAAACTTTGAATACCATAACAGATGATAAATGATGTGTTTTATAAGAACGATTTCTGGACACCAGGTAACAGCCCGATGTGCCACAGAAGGAGACCAAGAGCACAGGGAAGCAGTCCGCAGCTACAGCTAAG